CTCGACGGGTACGTCGTATACTTTCAGAGCTGAAGTATTTTCGCCCATTCGGACGACATGACGAAACRTAGCGCTGTCTTTTAGTTTAAAGGACCATAAATCTTTCACTGAACCTTTTTCTCGAAAACTCGTAACGTCGACTCATCAGATGTTGTCATCGTCCTTGCCATATAGTAAGACGGCGATGATGAGCGACTTGTAGAGTTTGGCTCTGTTCGTCGAGAGAGGACTTTACTTCTCAATTGCTTGCTCAGTCCGAAGTAGCACCTGTAGACAAAAGTTATTTTKCGTTGTATTTCGAGACTGGCATTGTTGTTGCTGTTAATTCGTGTTCCAAGATAAACGATATTATATACGACCTGAAAGTTATGACTGTCGACAGTGATGTGGAGGCAACTCCTCGTTCACTACCAGACCCATTTGCTTCGTTTCCTTATCCAGTCTTAGAAAGTAGAACTAACGGAGCGGATCCAGCAGCTGTACACTATTATAGAAGATTGATTGAGCCGCGTTGTCTGWAACCTTGTTTGGTATCGAACGGCTCGGAAAGGTMTTTGCCGATCCTAATGGAGATTTTTGGTACAGATCAAATTCAGTTTACACATCTGTATTAGTTTTGCGGGACTACCAAAATCAGATATAAAGTCTGCTCCTTTTCGTGCTGTCAAAAACAGCTTTAAAATCGACGAAGAGGTGGTTTGGGACGATCCACGTTTCTTTTTCAATATTTGCCGCATGCTGAAGAATAATCAGTTGTTGATTTTCCAGGCCTAAAGCAAGTTTAAGATAGTCCAATCAGTTTGTTAACAGTGGGCTTTAATCTTTTACACAATTCGCTCTATAAAACCTTATACGCGATGTTGAGGAGGTTTATCTCAGGGTACTTTGTGAAGATTGTGAGGTCTCCCTTTTTGAGTATTGGACAGAGCTCACTTTAATTCCAATCGTAGAGCATGCTTTCGTCCGACCATATTATACAAAGAAGCAGGTGCATGTTCCTTATCAGTTCGTCGAAATAGTCTTTCACTTGTTGAGATATCGATCTGAAATTTTGCACATGTCCTTTTCTCTCCACCAAACTGCTCATTTATTAGAATCGTCYATAACGGATCACTGTAGTATTTAGCTGCCTTACAAACGGGAAAACGTTTTTATTTGTCAAGATATCTTATATCAAAATTTGGCATAGATTATTGTCCAAGACTACTTGGACCACTTTTGCATACAGCTGTCATATAAAATGACCAATAAAAATCGAAGACATTTTTATTTGACAAGATATCTTTACGAATTTCGGCGTAAATTATTGTTCAAGACGATGCTAAATTATCCAAACAAATTATTAAAATTGGACCACTAAAGCATGTAGCTGTCATTCAAACTGTTATTAAATTCAGAAGTTCAGCAATTTAACKTAATTCATAACCTTATTTTGGAACAAAACATGGTGTATTTTCAAATAGTCATGTATAGTAAAGCAGCTCATCTGTAGTAGACTTCCACTAGGCTGAGCTTTAAGCCCACCCAAGTTATCGTATGTGCTTATTAAGGGATTTTCACTRCGATATAGGTACCTATTATATTTATTGCAACACACAATAATATCCAATTGTGAATGCTGTGAAARCGACATAACATAAAATAGCTCCTAAGATAATTAAAATTGTCAAATCATTATGTCATGCTCTTTGCTTTTTTACAAATGTGACTTGTACTTATTCAAAGCCTTATTGCTTTCATTGTTGCTTCCGTTATTATTCTATTTTAAGCTCAATGAAGTTTTATGTTCTTTAAGCTCTTCAATGTTAAAAATTCCATAAAAAAATTCAATTCCACACATCTGTGTACATTGTCATCAGCTCAACACGCCGCGCCACAACTCAAAGTTCAATGCAGAACTTCCAAGCCATATAAAACATTGAAACGACGACGATTCGATTGCAGTTGACCAACGAGGAAGGGTGGCAACATTAAAACACCATTGTGGGCTAGACAAAACCGCAATTATTTAAACACTGCACGACTTGTATCGCACACTGCCACATGCCTGCCGCATGTCACTAACTACTGCAACTATATACAACTGTTGTACTAAATATGTGTATGTGTGTGCATTTGAAGTGCTTAAGCACTGTGTGCAAACAATTGCTGCTGCAATTTGTGACTTTTGCTTTTGTTTTGACTTTTRTTGAGTTTGAGTTTTTTCTTTACTTTTTGCTCCGCTGCTAAGCTTGTTTGCTTTACACTTGACTTCGTTCGTTTTTATCCCCTGCACACGTTTCCAATTGGTTATAAATTTGTCGTTCAATAATTTTAAATTGTTCGCCATCTTTACACGTCGATTTTCCGCTGTCAGCCAGAAGCTACAACGGTTATTTCTAATTTTATAGTTGCAACAAATTGCGGTCATTGCAACGAACGAGCATATCCTGCTGCAGGATATGTATTCTGTGTTTCACTCGTTAGCTCTGATATCAAACACACCAACGCTCTGGGAATATAAATATAGTTCATGTGCAATCGATGATTGTTACACAGTAGAGTTCAAATACACGCCAGCAAAAAAATCTACTTTTTATCATTTTCATCATATTAACCACCCCTTGGCGTTCTGGAAAAGTCAACCCGAATGGTCAACGCGCTATTATTTTGCGGAAATCGGAAATGCGAAGTTTGGGAAATACGCTTAATTCATAATCCATATTTAAACGGAGGACGCGAATTCGTCGCCGAAAGGGGAAAGGGTGTTGAATGTCGCGTTATTTATAGTCAATTCAAATTGCGACCGCGGAAAAGCTCTAAAACAATACAAGCAGTTTTACGTGATCGCCTATGGCAGCCAATAGCAAATAACGGAGCTTGTATTAGGATTAACTAATCTTCAAACAAATATAAATTTACATCTTGGAGGGAGCAGATTATTACCTAGGAAGTTTTTTATTTATAAAATGCGAAAATTTTGGAATAGTGCGGACTTATTTCTGATCATAGTACGTTGCTCTCGTGGTAGAAGAGTGCTTTTTTGCCCCCAAATAAGGTGGAGTTTTCTGCAGTTTATTGTCGAATCGTTCTATAATAGTTCGGCATAGTTTATCACTGTAACCCATTGTCGTTTTCAGGATATTCGATGTACATAACTTTTTCGGACAATAGGAAAACTTTTTTTCTTCTTCTTTACTGGCTAGAAACTGGTTACGAGGTTATAGTCGAGTCAATTGGTGATTCCAAGCGAAGCCAGGTCCTTCTCCACCTGGTCTTTCTAACGGAGCCGAGATCTACCCCGCGGCGGGTACTGCGTCGAATACTTTCAAAACTGGAGTATTTTCGTCCTTTCGGATGACATGACTTGGCCAGCGTGGCCGCTGTCTTTTAATTCGCTGAATTATGTCAATGTCTTCGTATATCTTATACAGCTCATTGTTCCATCGAATGTGATATTCGCCTTGTACATCATTTACCGAAGACTCATCAGATGTTGTTATCGTTCATTCCTGTTCCTAAGGCAGGATGGGCTTAATGAGTGACTTATAAAGTTTGGTTTTTATTCGTCGACAGAGGACTTTACTTCTCAATTGCTCCTCAGTCCGAAGTAGCACCTGTCAGCAATAGTTATTCTGCGTTGGATTTCTAACATTGTTGTTAGTGTTAATACTGGTTGCAAGATACAACCAGAAGAAATTATTTATATTATATATTTCGTCTTGTCTTCGTTCACTACCAGACCCAATTACTTGGCTTTCTTATCTAGAGAAAGCAGAATTAATGGCGCGGATGTTGTATCATTAGCTGTACACTATTATAGAAGATTGTACCTGCTCGATTAAGGTCTGCAGCTCGAATTATTTTCTCCATCAGTAGACTGAAGAAGTCAAATGATAGGGAGTCGCTTTGTCTGAAACCTCATTTGGTATCGAACGGCTCGGAGAGGTCTTTCTCGTCAGGTCACAGCCAGCTTACACAGCCGTATTACTTTTGCARGAATACCAAATTCAGACAAAGCGGCATAAAGCAGCTCCTTTTCGCGCTGTCAAAAGCAGCTTTGAAATCGACAAAGAGGTGATGTGTGTCGATCCTTTTTTCACGGGTAATTTCCAAAAATTAGCGCATCGTGAATATATGGTTAGTTGTTGATTTTCCAGGCCCAAAGCCACACTAATAAGGTCAAATCAGTTTGTTGACGGTGGGCTTTAATCTTTCACACAATACGGTGGCGAAATTCACCAACAACAAATACAAAACACCAAATAAAACAGCTGCCTTCCGACTTCACCATAACACCCAACTATCAGTAGTTTTTATATTCGCTCATAGTTTTTAGACCCTTTCAAAGAGACAATAAAAATTCTTCAGTAACAGTTGCCAGAAATAAGCTCACTGATAATGTTAGAAACCACGTTGTATTATACACAAAGACGTTGATAGGCAAACTTTTCATTCAAGAACTATAAYCCAAGCAAGTAGAGAGAATGCGCATAGTTTAACGCTCCAGCTAACCGCAAGCATATGAACGGTAAATCTCTTATCCCAAAAACTTGTCTTGATAAAGCAAATTCGCATACGCGTACAAGTATATAAATAGGAAAATATGTAAGCTAAGAAGAAAGTGTGGTAAGGTTGCGTAAATGTTATCATTTCAGTGAACGCTGAAACACTTATCGCATCACAACAGAACAGAGCTAATGCAAGAGCACACCGACATCTATCCACTTGTATCTGTATATAGTTAAAAATATATGTACATAAATTTCGGCGCTTGTGCGAGAAAACGCCGCGCACTCCAAAGGCCTACCAACGTACTCAAGGCTATGCGTCTGCCAGCGTCCTTGAGAAGCACACCCAGCGCTCATTTGTGTTTCAAAAGATATATTAGTTACCGCCATTGCGGTTTGCCTTCTTGCTTTCTAAAGCATGACGTTCCCTATACGTATACACACGTACATTAGCAGTATGGCTATAATTTCATCCATCATTGAACAATGACGGCCAACCCAGCGCCTTAAATGACCTCAGCACCCTCAGTTGTGCCTCTGCGTTTTATATTCGTTTTAAGGCGAACTGGTGGGGCGGTGAGCATAAACGAATTTAATTTTTTATTGCTTCGTATGCATGTATTTATTTGGTAAAGTATGTCTGTATGTATGTGGTTGTCGTTTCGAGGAGCACAAAGCTCCTGTCGTTTACTAATAGTTTCCAATTGATTTAATTAAACRGCAAAATGTGACAATGATCAATGCAGCAGTTCTGCGTTCTGTTTGCTTTTACTTTTCCTCCTTAAGTGCCTGCAATCGAGTTCTTGCATTCAAATGGCTGTTCTTGCACCAAATAAAATTGCTGGCTGTTTCTTATGTGCTCAATTGCTTTCGCTTTAATTGAGGTACACAAATCGCAGCTGTTCGAGAGCAGCTGCAAGGATGTGTATTATTCGTTGGACCACTGGATTATGCTTGAGTGGCAGTTAAAGCTGCGTTAATCGCAAATGAAGCGACAATTAACTTGGCTGGTTCGTTTGCTTGAATAACTTTCGAACAGTGAGGTTTGCAACAAAGTTGTGGGAGACTATTTTCAATTTCTTAAAAATATAAAATACTATATTTTTTTTTAAATAAGTCTCATCCATCATTTAAAACTTGTCAAATAAAATTATCAATTATTGCCTTCTAATGTTGATTATTATATATCCATAATAGTTCTTAATTTTGTCTTGCCTTCAGTTTGCCTGCACCATTTTTTTTTTTAATATAAATATCTGATAATGCAAAATCTTCATACACAGAAAAACGAAATGTATGACCATGAAATAAAATTATATAAATCTCAATTTGAGACTGCTGGTGCAATGCTTTTCGAAAAATACTAACGAATGAATATTGAGGAAAAAGTTACTCATACGCACCGCCCACCGGTAATAACTCTTCTGCTACATTAATATACATATATATGTATATATCAAACAAATACAGCATWTGGTGCTTTGTTGACCACCTAATAGTTGAGTTCTAAATTTTGATAAAATTTATAGAAATATTTATTTGACATTAATGACTTTTTTATATATACTCGTACACATTTATACGCCATGAAGAGGTGATGAAGTCTTGTAGAGACATTTATAGCATAAGAACACAGTGCAAATTGATTTATGGTATGTAAATTTATTATAAATATCAACGCTACAATATTTTACATATTAAAAAATTATACCTGCACACTAAATTTTTGAAAAATCTACTATTAAAATTGACGTTCGAAATACACTCTTCTATCTAGCTGCAACTATCATGAAGCAATTTTTTAGGCTGATAATTAATTAATAAAAAAAAAAAATTTATGAAAAACTTTAGTTTGCTAAATTGCTATCAAAGCAAAAAAAAATCGAAAAATGCCCACAAAATTCTTTCTTTGTTTACTGGCGTGAAATTTCAGAGATCCCAATTGTCAATGAACGTATGAATGCGTGAAAATAAAATCCTCATGGGACTATTATGGAGCGATAAATTGATTAGATATGTTTGATTGGATGTGAAAATATATTTGTAGATGTAAGTGTACATGCGAGTGCTTGGAGTAAAGTGGCGTGTGGATACATTTGCCCATATGTGTATTTCCACCAATTGCAATGTTAATTTTATTATAGGGTGTCGCCTATAAATTCCCTCCAATCTTTACCGTTGTCACTATCGTGCCATAAAAATCTTTTTTCCACCAAAAACTGTAATACATTTCTTCAAGTGCCGGGCAGAAGAAGCAGCAGAAATGCCGAAGTGTTTGTCATATATAATGTAAGTATTTAAGTCCTTATATGCATGTACGAGTTGCTTGTTCACACGAGCAAGTAAGTAATACGTACATATGTGTATGTGCGCCTGTGTATGTAGATGTGTTCTATTTGTATATATGTATGTGAACCGTACGTAAAATAGAACGGCATTTTCTTTATGAGCACACAAGAGTGGCACAAATAAAAGAATTAGGGTGATATTGCATACCTTAAAAATATATTACCATAACTTTTTGAGAAAATTATCTCCGTCTGTAATTTAAAAAAATAAGTGTAAGTAAATAAAAATTGCAGTGACATTATCATTACCTTTCTATATAATTTTTCCTTTTCATTATTTATACAACATTTATATTTTATTAATAAGAATTTCATATTAATTAAAGCAATTACCTTAACTGTAAATAAAAGTCAGATTTCGAAAGTTCATCGCTAATAAACTCGTCACACCCTAATAAGTTTGATTTCACCACAACTTTAATTCAGTAATACTGTTGCGGTTGCGATTTTGTTTATTACAAAACCAGTGGCAATTAACGATTACTACCGAGATAAACTATCCAAAAATCAGAATAATTGGTATATAACTCATGGGACATGAATGCGAAATAATAGTAATTAAGCTTTGCTAGACTTATGTATAAAGGAATGTTGTTTAAGAATATACAACTATATACAAACACACCCTCTTAGATGGAGCGTACGAGGGTGTCGTATTGTTTGGCGAGACTAAATTAACATTAAAAGTGAAGCAAACTATTTTAAACATTTAGCCAGATATGTCACATGTTTAAACGCAAAAAAAATTATTGGAATTTTAATAAATTAGCAGAGCTTACCTTATGTTTACTAACTTTAAGGGATGATAACCACTTGCATGTCTGAAAATAATTAAATATGGCTAATCATTTTCACCGATTCCATAGCCGAACTTTACTTGGACCTCCGAAAGATGGTATGAGAAAGACTTTTTATGTTTAAAATGATCTCAAATCCAAAACCGAAAAAAATTATATTATTTAAATRAATACAAGTAATGCTCGAGAGGCTAGTTCAAATTTCGATTTTTGACAAAAGAGCAGCTTTTCAAAAACAAAAAAAAAACACAATTAAATTAAATTAATTTACTGGGAGTCTTAAGAAATTATCAATAAAAATTGTATTATATCGATTATTATCTGACAACTATTCTAAACAGGTCTCGTAAAAACATCATCTGGGTCCTGGAAATAGCGTTTTGAGTTAAATGAGTTGAGTATTAAATTCTTACAAGTCGCTCAAATCTGCGAAACTATTTGCCGGATTAACTTCACTTTTCGAAGAATATTCTAAAATATATGACATATTTTTGTTTAAACTCTCAAATTGCTAAGTTTTATAAAGTTTCGACCACAYTTTACTAGACTTCTAATATAAAATTTCTCCTCAATACCCTTTGACATTGTGTAAAATCAGATCAAAATTGATCCGTCTTTTCATGAGCCTTGTAATAGATGCTTAAAGTATTAAGAAAATAAAGAAGAAGTCGGGATGCAATTTGAAAAGAAGTTTCTACGCACTGAACATACCGTTTTTTTACTCTTGCAACCAGTTGCTACAGAAAATTATAGTTTTGTGAACCTAAGGGTTGTACGTATCACCTACAACTAATCGAGTTAGTTATAGGATTATATATATGTATATAAATGATCAGGATGACGGTTGACTGTCCGTCCGCCCGTCGTCCGTGCAAGCTGTAACTTGAATAAAAATTAAGATATCTGGATGAAACTTAGTACGAGGGTTCCGTAGTACAAGAAAAAATTAAGATTTTGTAGATGTTCGTAATCTGACGACTACCACGCGTACAAATCGGCATTGACGGAAAAGATAAATTAAGATATCTGGYTGCAATTTCTTACAGAGGATCGTAGTAGCAAGGGGCACCTGTGGGCAAAATTTTTTGAAAAAGTGGGAGTGGTTCCGGCCTATAACCAGTATAATGCAGATATCTCGTAAGCTACTTAAGCTACAACAACCAAATTTGCTGAGTATAAATCATATAAAAATTCTACCGACAATATGAAAACGGATAAAATCGGAGGATAATCCCGCTGACTCTCCATATAACGGTAATGTTAAAACTACAAAAAGCGAGRTAAATCAATAACTAAATAAGCCAAAAACATTAAATTTTACCACCGAGCTGGTAAAGCCGATCTAAAAATTGGACGATGGGYGTAGCACCACTTACATTCTCATATCACATTGATCAAAATTTATGACAGTTTGTGTAAAGAAAAGGGCAGAACTCCTGCGACTCGAACTTGTAAGTCAACATCTGAAAGAGTGAGCCCTCAAACTCTTAAGGCTTGATTTCGAAATCGMGTGACAATCAAGAAGCTTCTTCCATACAGCTTCTGTAGCTGGCATTTTTTAGGATTCTTAAGCTTACAGCATAGACGCCGATAGAGRGATGTTAGAACCCTCACAACTAGGGAGAGGCTAGCTAAGCTGAGAGCTCACTGGATCTACGATCGATCTTTAYGCAAAAAGATCTCGGGACAGCGCATGAACATGATAGCCCAGCACTGGATCACTTACAAATATAAATATTTATAGATCTCTATAGGTACATACATACATAACTATCATCGCACTAACGCACGTATGTACTYATATTTAATTKTATGTGAAAATAAAAATTATTAATTGCTATTTGTTGTAATTTAATGTTTATTCTCATAAGAATTTCTTTCCATTTATTCAACTTTCCAGCTGACGAGGAAACTGCTGACTCCTTGTAGGCCGCTGAGTTATTTGGAATGTGGAACCATAATTAAATTCAACAAAGAGAAAGACATAAATTAATTCATTCATTGCCACAGAAAACATATGCGTAAGCGTAATCTGATTAGCTGCTCAACAGACCTACTGGCGGAGACCATTAATGTCACCATTTCCACCTCATCATAAATAAATACAAATGAATTAGAAATGAGAGGAAATTATTGCACGCTCTCCCGATAATTCGAAGTGAATGACAGCACATAATTTTTTTCAACAGAAAACTTGCATAGTATTCGGRCAAACAGCGGGATTTCACACACTTACATACACATATACAAACGGCTATCGATAGCAACATGCGTGTGTGTGTAGTCAAGTGCTTCCGGCCRCAAGTGCGAATGCATTAGACACACGTTGCGTCGTGTGAATGTTATAATGTTGCGTTGTATTTAATTACCAATGCGCCCTTCTAACAGCAACAACAAAAAATAAAAACAACAACGGCAGCAACAACGAGGTTACATAGCAATAGCAAGCAGACTTATATATCAGCACATTGGAATTTTACGGGACACGCATCGCTGGCAACACACGCAGCGGTGGCTGCAGAGGTGACAACMACATTTAAGCAAACAACAAAAACGAGATCAATTGGGGTGGAGACACGTGACGCGTGCATTTCGGTTCATGCAACGAAAGCGTTTCGCGGTCCAGTAGTGGGAGCGGTGGTGGAAGCAGCAACTGCAACGGCAACAAAAACGGAAACAATAACAACAACAACCTGTCATTACGTCAATTTGGGCGGTTGTAAAGCGAAACGAAATCAATCCCAAAACTGTAATCGTGAAACTTTTAATTTCTCCCGCTCGCTTGTCAGTGYTGTGCTGCTCCTCTGTTGTCTTGCGTCAAATAGTTTCGTAACAGCAGCGCCATTGGTGAAGGTTTCCACTGCAAGTGGCAATGACGTGCAAGTCGCTGTTGCCGTCGGTGGTATCGGTGTMGTTAATGGTTTAGCTAACCGTAAAGCGGGTGCTAACACCAACAACAGCGTGGACCCCTGCGCTCTTAAGACACAACRAAATGTTGACTGCCATGCAACGCTTCCCCACAGCGATGACTACAATATCAATGGCAATGCTTATCATGTACAACAACCAATTATCGAAACTACAGTCGCGCTTCTGCTCATACCAACTGCAACGCTTTTCGAMACCACAACTACCGTTAAATCTGTTGCCACTGCCAGTGAAAACAGTGAAACCGTGGCGAGCGACACCACCGCTCCACTGCTCTTCGATGGCGCCAGCACCACTGCCAATGTGTCCGCCGTGCAGGAGATTCTCGAAGTGCCACAGATTCCCGCTTACATACGCAACACAGCCATGTGCTTTTGCATAGCAATCATGCTGCTGGGTGTTATTGGCAACATTATGGTGAGCATTTACCGCAACTTTAGTATATGCATGTTTGAGTATTAGTTTGGGTCGGTTAACATCTGATGAGAAATACTTTGTAATAATCCTCCAAATCACTTTCACTAGTTTGAGTTCGTAAATTGTAGCATTCTCTTTTAAAATAACCAATTCCACAATTCGTGAAGATATCTCGTCAAATAAAAAAGTTTGCCATACAAGGATTTGTTTTTGATCAATCCCTTTGTATGGCAGCTATATCTTGTAATAGTCCGATTTCGGCGGTTCCGACAAATGAGCAATTTCTTGGGGAGGAAAGAATTTGTACAAAATTTCAGATCGATATGACTAATATAGCATAGCTACATTGACTCAGCTCGTTACATCGATCCTTTATATAATATATACTTTAAAGGGTCATCGAAGTTTTCTTCTCGGTGTTACAAACCTAGTATATCTTCTTCATGATATAATTGTACAAAACAATAAAAATTACCATTTGAATGTTTTATGACACTATTCAAACATGAAGAAAGAAAATTAAAAGGAAACCCCATTTTGACTGCTTTTAGGACTCACCAAGGATGAAATTTTAACCAAAAATACTTTCAGTACAAACTATCARACTAAGTAAAATTTTGTAATTATTTTCGTGGCCTAATCTAATGTTTAATTATACATATGGACGCATTAATAGTACTTAAATATCGAACACCCACATGGGTTGTACGCTGCGTATAAGTAATCTAGTGCGGAATTTCGTTAAGTTGACTTTACTCACGCTCTTTTTCGATTTGCTTGTCACATCACACGTCGTTTAGGTGCCAATTGTTATTGTGAAAACCAAAGATATGCGCAACTCCACCAATATATTCCTTACAAATCTCAGCATTGCCGATCTATTGGTACTGCTGGTGTGCACGCCAACCGTATTGGTCGAGGTAAATACGCCACCGGAGACCTGGGTGCTGGGCCATGAAATGTGTATGTAATAAAATTAAATTTCACTTCTACATATATAAAGGATATATAATTTGTGTATATATACTATTTTACTATAATTAAATGTTTATTTACACTCCTTCCTTCGCTTCGCCAGGCAAAGCCGTGCCATTTATTGAGCTAACAGTCGCACATGCCAGCGTGCTGACAATTTTRGCCATCTCATTCGAGCGCTACTATGCCATATGTGAGCCACTGAAAGCCGGTTATGTGTGCACCAAGGCGCGTGCCATACTTATTTGCATATTGGCGTGGGGAATTGCGGCCGTATTTACCAGGTAAGAGTTTTTTTAATATGAAATATCATGTAAGCCTTACCACAATAAYTGAGCTGACGTGTAAATTCAATGTGTTAGGTTTGACAAAGCTTTGKTTTTTTTACTTCGAAAATCCAAAAATTGGAAAAAATTAGTCTGACTATAGTTAAAAAAAATTGTACTAATCGAAGAACTATTCAATATTTTGGTTATTAACAAAATGGCGGCTTCTAAAAATACTTTTTGTTGAAAAATTTACATATCACCTTAAAAAATAGAAATTAATACCAACCGTTTTATTCCTTCCATCATTACTGAGAAAGAAATCTAATAAGGTCGTATGAAATTTTCAAGTCAATTCAAAGTTYAAAAGTTTCATTGAAAGTTATTTCACCGACTGCAAGGTCAGAGCTGTATGGTAGATGCATCAAAACTTATCAGCCAAGCTCTCTCAGTTTTTCAGAAGTCAACAAAGATGTGTGTGGTCTAGCGTTATCCTGATGGAAGACGAAACCGTTTCTGTTGATCAATTCTGACTGTTTTTTTTTTCTATTACTTGCTTCAATCTCATCAGTTGTTGACAGTAAAATGTAGAATCAATCACTTGACCAGGCTGGAGCAACTCATAGTGGATGATTCCTTTCAACTCACTCAGCATAACCTTTCGAGGCGTCACTCCTTTCTTTGCGTCCATTTGTTGAGCTTCGTCTCCTGTTACCATTCGCTTCAGAAATGGTTCGATTTCATTTCGTTTCAGTAAAGAATCGCAGATGTTAATTCGGTTCATTAAATTTTTCACAGACAATTCATGTGATACCCAAACATCGAGTTTCTTTTTGTATTAAGCCGCTTTAAATTATTCAAATCCGTTTGATGATGAATGTTAGGTTCCTCTGCGATGTCATGGATGCATATGTGATGGCCCTGGTCAATCTTTTTCATAATTTCATCGAATTTTTCAACRATACGTCGACCAGAGCGAGGTGCATCTTTCACATCAAATTTTCAAATGGAAGCGAGCGAACTAATGTTGTGCTACMCGAACTGATACAGCATCATCTCCGTAAACTTCACAAATTTCATTAGTGGCTTGCATGGCATTCTACCCTTCTTTATACAAAAATTTCAAAATATACCCAATATATTTTATGTACGTGCATGCGATATATATTATACTTATGCAGAAAGAAACAGATTTTTTGAAATCCCCAAGTGGATATAACCCCTTAACAACGCTCAGCAAAAATAATATGAGAAGTTTAGTAAAACACGTAGTATTAAGTGTAAGCACTAATTACATTAATTATAATATTATTAATCACTATCACGGCAAGGCAACCACTTCACCTAAACCTCACATATTTTTTACTTTGTTAATTGCGAACTTGGGTAGYACTCATGAGTTACCCCGAAATTTAGTTCAATTATTGTGGTATAATTTAGTCTAGTATTAATAAACTAGTAAGATAAGTTTGTACATATGTACAATTATATATAAGAACGTAGATAAAGCGTAGTAACAGCTGTAGCCTCCTTTTCGTAGTTGCCAAATACTATATACTTTACATTTATATATAAATATTTTAAATTTGCAATTCTTACTGTACAATTTAACCATATATTAATTTACATGTATTTGCTAGTTCCGCGCTTGTAAAATTTTATGCAGATTTTATTGTAAACTATTTTATATTCATTCTTGTTGATCTTGCTCGTAATTTGAATATTAATTTCATGCCTTTGTGAAGATTTTTGCAGCCATTGTTTAATATATAGATTTTATTATTATGCCTCCAGCCATTTAGCATGTCCAGCAAAACCCATCAAAGCGTAGTATTAAAGACGCATATACATATATATATATATATATAAGTACATATTTGTAAAAAGCAACAAAGCCAAAGCAGCGCGTACATAAGGTGCCTAAATAAAGTTTGTATGTGTGTAGCTATTTAAAAATATTTGAATGGAAATTGTGTTTGCACGTCAAAGTCGGCCGATCGCCCTTACTACTGTCATTATTTTAGTCGTCACCATTTTCATAATCACCGGCGGTTGTCAACGCGTGCCCATTACAAGTCACCGAAGAACAAAAATTGACAAAACAAAAGGAACAGGACACAGGAACAAAAAAAGAGTAAAGAGACAATTTAGTCATATTTTTTATTTTACTGACGTTAAGGTTATGTTTAGTTTTCTGTTTTCTATTTTTTGTTTTACTCACTTTTATCATCGCGACCCTTTTTATTTGTAGTTAAATTATATTTGTATTATTTATGCGGCCGCTTGTCGCCGTTAGACCGCGCTCTTAAGTATAACCCCACAATGGAAATGAGGTAATCGCATGCTATTAAGGGCTTACGAGCAGTGACCTTTCCTGCCACCCACTGTTGCTGTCGCCATTGACTTCACATCACCATTCAAATAGGCGTTGTTATCACGTGGCCTATAATTGCACACTTCCGCGTTCGGTTTACCGGCTCTGTGATGGTCAAAGAACAACTTATACAAATATTTGGTGCTCCATAGTTGTTTCCTAAATCAATTATGGTGAAGAAATTAGTTACATAGGCAAAGTATCTTGACATAACTTTTTGGAGGAATAGTTTTTCCTCCCGCTTTCTTTCAGAAAACCTTCTAGATTCAATCAAAAGTGTTGATAGTAAATCTTCGAGAAGGATTAAACATATCCAATCTCGCTCTTACCTTCTTTAAAAAAAAGCTATTTTTAATTTTTTTTTTTGTAAATTTTATAGATCTTCAAAAATATAAATCTAAGAAAATTTTCTCAAACAAAGGTATAGTTCAGTTGAATCAGAATAAAGCTAGCTTGGAACTTGAAGCTCCTCCGAGTAATCATTATCAGAGAGAGAATGCGGTTAAGCCGTTGTCAATATAGTAAGAAATACACTTCGTATTGTCACCTAATTCAGAGATTATGTCTAGCCTTGCACCCTACAGTGAAACTTCATACAAATGTGCTATATTTTTTAGTCCAATTATTTGGGTTGCTGAGTACAAATTCGTCGAGTACATTGATGGATCATCGGTGGCAGTCTGTTTGACGCAAGCGACCACCAATTGGACTGTCGGATACTTTTTGATGACAATAATCATATTCTTTATACTACCCCTACTCATCCTTATGGTACTGTACGCCATTATAGCAAAGAATCTAATATCCAGCAATGGTCCAATGTTGCGTGTAAGACCGTCGAAACCAGAGTTGAGCTTAAAGGCGCGCAAACAAGTCGTACTCATGCTGGGCGCTGTCGTTTTATCATTTTTTCTTTGCCTGCTGCCCTTTCGTCTGCTCACCATGTGGATCATACTCAGTTCAGAGCAGACCTTCTTCGAGATTGGCATCGAACGTTACTACAGTCTATTGTATTTCTGTCGTATCATGTTCTACCTGAACTCCGGCATCAATCCAATTCTCTACAATCTGATGTCGACAAAGTTTCGTAAAGGATTTTTGCGACTCATTTTAAGCACATGGCAAAGCGCCGTCTCATCAGTAACCTGCGGACGCTATAAACGCATACGTGCACGTACCGGCACCATAACTGGTTTGGCGACCAACACCAACACGAACACCTCGAATACCGCCAGCAGCCATGCGACCACGTCTAGTATACTCTCACGTCAATCTAATCGCCGTTACAGTGACGACATGGTCAACACTAATTCTAGTACGCGCACCGTTACAAAGACACAAATACAAATACATATGCACATACCGTGCGGCCCGGACAATGAGATGTTGGCGATGTTGCAGAGCAGTATAACAACCAAGCTTGGGAAGGAAGGGCAACGCAATGAAAGTAATATGTGTGCGAGTGGACAACAAAAGTCCACAACGAAGTGTCATAAAATGCAGTCCGCAATGCGTGCTCGGGGCGAGTCGGYCGCGAAGGGCTCTAGTAGACGTTCGGTACACGTCAGTTTCGATGACGAAGAGGCTCAAGATCCGGAAGAGGCTATTACTCTAACGTGATGCGATTGAAAATACAAGAAGAGGCTAATTGAGAGCGCGCTTATTACAGTAATATAATATTAGCAGTTACTTGTAGGCATCCGAATGGATGCAAGTGGTGTGTTGTTGGCTGTGGTTTTGCGTATTTAAATAACATATTTCTGCATCTTCTTAAGGAAATTGAAAAGTGACCAATAATAAGAGTAATAAAGCTATTTTATATTGTATATAATTTTGTATTAGCCAATTTCTAGCACAAGTAGTTAGTTTAAGCACAGCTGTATGTAACTTTTGCTGAATGTATTATTGTCTTGTTAAAGTGAGAGATACAAAATTAAATTAAATTGTAATGGTTAGAACTTTTATATATTTAAAAGATAAATAAGATTTTGTTTATACAAAATCCAAAGCGAATCCGCAAATTTTTATRCATTTGAATCTGGAATCTGAACAAGGGTATATACGTATATTAAGTTTGCTACGAAGTTTGTAACGTCCAGAAGGAAACTTCGGACACGTTATAAAATATATATACATTTATGTCCATCTGAAATACTTTTATTTCATATTGCATTATATTTTTTAATTTTTAATATAAAACATTTTATTTTTAACGTTGATGTTTGTATGATGAACCATTTCGTAAAAAAAAAATTAAAAAGTTAAAATTTGAAAAATAAAATAATAATAATAAACTAGAATTTTTAATATTTTTGGTTGTATATCTAAAAATTTTTAAAATATCCAAATTTAATTATTAAAATAAAATAATTCTAAAGCTCAAATAGTCAAATCTGAAAATAAATAATAGCGGATAGTGTATGTGCTATCGGTTAAAATCAAGCTTTAATAAATGGCAAATGCTACAAATAATATAAACCATGTACCATGTACCAAATAAATATAAAATACCGTGATATATGTTAATGGAAAAAAACGAAAAAAAAAATATAATTAAGTGAAAGTAATAATATGTTTATATGTGTTAGTATAATTAAAAATATAATATATTTAAGTAAAAAATAATCTTGTTTGTGTAGTATACAAAACTTAGTGCGAACTCATATACTATAAATCATAAGTACATACATATATGTACTATCATACAAGTATATAATACTAAGCTTAGATAGACAAATTGGAAGCGAGATACCAACTACGAGTACTAGAAAAAATATCTCTTTAGAGAAAGATTTAGTAGAAAATTTAATGCTTTACAGAAAGGTACATCGTTAGAGGATGTTTTCGTAAATCTATCTGATAATAAGAAATAAGGTGTTACCTGGGTTTCCTAGGGCAAAAAACTGCTTTTTTTCAAAAAATTTTTTTCTTATATAAAAAATTAAATATTTTATTAGAATTTTTTATTGTTACAAACATACACTATTAACAAAGAAATTCTGAAATTTTTGGAAAAATATATTTTAAACTCGGTGATTGCGACGCTATTCGCAGTGACCACTCAGAAAAAGGATGAGCCTGCGTTGGCAGAATAACTCTTTACGGGATCATCTAAAGTGAAAAAATACGTGTTTTAGTTAAAACCTTACCTTAGAACATGGACGAGGAAAAAAACTGAAAATTGGGTTTTTGGCAGACATTTTTAAACAAAAATTAAAATTTCAGTGAAACTTTTTTTTTTCAAAAGTTGTAATCCAAAAAAAACCTTTGTCATAGTTTTTAAGAATTATATCTCAAAGGCCTGTGAAAAATTTGATGAATATCGGTTGAGCAGTTCTCAAGAGCTCTTGCCAACAGTTTTTAAAGCACACTTTCGAGAAAAACGCTTTTAAAGACGGCGCATTCGCCTTGCAAGTTCTCAAGGCTGGATATCCGAAACTATTACTAAGATCAACTTGAAAATTTAGGACAATATTCTAGAGGTGTTGTAGAATTAAAAAAAGAAACAATACAAAGTTTCGATTTTTTAAACCCAGTAAAGCCATTTAACCCATTAAGGATTCATAATTGGATACACTTTCATAGAGATGTCTAATAATCTATCTGTCAAAGTACTAAAGAAAAGATATTATATTATATTTTTTTGACCCACTCTAATGTACAGGCATATTAATATTTGTATAACATTAAACTTATCCGCACACTTTGTACTTAAAAAAAGTATATAACATATATAAAAATATATAAATAACTTAAGTGAAGATAGCACAATATGTATACTATGTTAAGAAATTTGATGTTTCGATGTTACTTGCTCCYAGTATACTAGTACAAATGAATATGGGTCAAAATGTATGTTTCCAAACACAATAATACCGCCGCCATACAATTGTAATGAATATATGTATACCTAAATTTTAAACATTTTTTTGTATTGCAGGTGTTTGTTAGAGATTTTAAATTCTTTCAAATGAACATTTTACAAAATAATCCGATTTTACATTCCATTTATTCATCAAAAATATCAAAGAGATAGTCTCTTAATAGATTGCTCAAACCTCAAACCTCTCAATAGTCTGAAATATCTTTTGATAAATACTTGAAAATGTTAAAATAAATATAACTATTATATGCATATATCAAATATGATCCGTTTATTCACACAAATCATATAAACAAAAATCTCTCTTCACAAAAAAGAAATTATCTAATTAAGAAATATCTACATAATCTATCTGTGTCGTTAATCAAAAATCAATTAAAAGGTATTCAAAACATAACCATCATTTTGGTGTAAYAGTACATTAAGTAGTATTCCGTTGCAAGTTTACAAATATTATAGGTGTACATACATCCATATGTCTAAATATTATACTTAAAAGAATTAGTAAAATAAATATTGAAACAAAAATATAAAAATAAAATAATTTATGTTAGTGTGCATATACTGAAAWACATATTTATATACATGTGATTAATATTTATACGAAAATATTTTATTAAAAAAATAAAGATTTGAAAGTCAGCCTGAACAAAGTGTGCATATTCTTCAACTGGTAAAAGAGTGTGTGTAAAAAATGATAGCCCTTTCGCTACATTAAGTCTGTTCTATTGTTGTTGTTGCTCTCTGCTCTTTTTTCAATTTTGGCCCTTTTTTCTATTTTCTCTTCTCCAATGAACAAACATACATACCTATATCATTAAATAATTATGACTACTCTCTATCACAATTTTTATGTGTTTGCTGATACTTCGACTTTTTCCTACTATATTTCTCAATTTGGTCTTTAGGTATAATCGATTTGTATTCCCAAAAATTCTATGCGCCAATTTCATCATTTCATTTGTTTCCATTTACGTCTAATCCATTGCCACGCCATCCATCTCATAAAGCTCATGTATCTTTGTATATATTTTGTGCATGTTTTGTAACGTTCACTTTTCACTTCCTGCACGCTTAGCTACTTTTTTCCAGCACCGCCTGGTTCCATATAAAATATCCTTATGTTCGCATTATGAACGCATTAGATGCGTCGATATAGAGGAAAGCCGACAAAGTAGCTCGTTTTGCATGTTTCCTAACCCGTTTACATTTCTGCTTGGCTAAACAAGAATTTGTGCCATCACCAGCCATGTTACAGCAAACAAATAAAAGGTATAACAAAAACGAAATAGAGGAAATGGCAAATAGCCAATTGACATGGACATATTAGGAAATGCCTACACCAATTGGACACAGTATAACGGTCATCCTTAGAAACAGTAAGTACGCATTTGCTTGCCTTTTTGACGTACATATAGAACAGTAATTTATACTAAACTGTTATGTCGCTGAGTCAAATGTTCATCGAAAATAAATATAAGTACAATTTCAATCAAATAATTTAAGTGGTTTTATTTGTCCACCCACATGGCATAAAGCAGTGTCATTAAATATCAACATCAATTCGAATAACATCAGGCGAAGTTGTGTTGAATAATTGAATACAGAATGTTCAGCAGGTAGATATTTAATTTTCTGCGTAAAAAAAATCTTAAAAACCTATAAATAGGTTATTATCAAACTCTATTAAAAGCTGATTGTCTTATAAAGTAATTTGATTTTTTCCATGCAGCTAATTTCAGGTGCAACCGAACATTTTATAATCTTGYGATTTCTGAAGTGAAATATTCTCAAGTTTTGATAAAATTTTTTATTTAAAAAATATTCAGTTCCTCGTAATACAAATTATATGTAGGAAATTTTAGTTGCGATAATACATGGACCRATTGGACCAATTTTCGACCATTTTCTGTGGAATATTCAATATTATTCGTTCACTTAATTTTGCTACGATATCTTACCATAAATCGGCTGATACTGCTGCAATTTAACATTAGATATTCGTACGAAGTTCATCAATCKCGCTGTCTCGCTGACTGGTTGGCATACATCATAAACTTGACGTAGCCACACACCGAGACGGCCGATTGCCTTGGTCATTTCGTGAGATAAAAAGTTCACCAAACTTGGTTTTCAAAAAATGGATTGTGACATTCGCTGTGTGGCTTGTGACGTCGTCGTGTTGAAACCACTTATTGTCCAGTCCAGATCATCCAATTCGGCCCAAAATATTCGGTTAACATTGAGCGGTAGCGATTCCCATTCACAGTAACGTGCCGGTCTTTATCATCACGGAAACCCGTAATTTTTTGGAGATGCAATGGTGACTCATGAAGTACGTGTGGATTGCTGCCTAACCATTAACGCATATTTTGCTTATTGACGAAGCCATTCAGCCAGAAATGAGCCTCAGCAATCAGGCTCATTATTTTTCGATGAAAATCGGGATCATTTTTAAGTTGTTGCTCAGCCCAATTCATGAACATACACGATTCTGGTGATCAAAAATGAATGAGAAAAAATATCGGTCTACTTCTGTAGCGTCCCTAATGAAAACCCCGCTAGGTATAAGGGAGTTGGAAAAGTATTGACCGATTTTACTCATGTTGGGCGGCAGAACACATATTTCTTCTTATAGTAAGATAAAGATGCTCTCGTTTCATTAATATGCTTCGCAGATAAACCGATATAATATAAAGTCAAACGTATGTTCCACAATCCTTATTTTGATTT